GTTACNCGTGTTTGGGGGGGGGGCGTTGCTATAAACTTGTTAGAAAATGTCGTTGTCTGTTGTTGTCACTCACTTTAAACGTTGTTTATGAAGATCAGAGGGGTCCCTAAGAAGGGAGAACGTAGATTTAGCATTTTTGCACGTTAAAAGTTTCATTATTATCGTAATCCTTGATAAAATGTTGTGACCAGACCTCCCTACTGACAATGTTTATTTTGCTAACTAGTTCTACAGGACGTTGACCCTTTGATATGCTTGTTACATGTCTTGTCTATGGTACTGCCAATCCTGAAAAAAAATGGTACCATTTCTACTTTTGGAGGTTGCCAAAGTCATTTTTCCAGTGCATTTCTAGTGTGCACTTCAGCACTTGTACCGTTATATGTGGTCATGTGTACTTGTCATGTAACGTTAACATTAGCTCATACTCCGGCAAAAGCTATCTGAAATGTCTGACTCTTCAGTAAATTTATTCAGTTGCATGATTTCTTTCGCATTACATAGTGTTACATGATGTTAATGTATTAGAAATTTAGGTGTCACAAAATTTAATATATCCTCATTTGCACCTGACATCCCAGTATAGGGTCAAAGTCTTGCAGCCATCTTGTTCGATGACATTTTATTGCTGCACTCTGCTTAATACTGTAAATTGTGAATTTTTCACAACACTTTTATATTTGCGGTTTTCATGGTCACTTCTGTACGGCAAACTTTTCATTACAAGAGCCACGAATATTTCATAATTTGCAGTTTTACCAACTGTTCAACTTCCCTCTGTATATGTAACATTACTAGTATACAAAGGAGAAGTATACTACCACAGGGAACAATATGGCTGTAAGAAATAAAACCTAAATTTTCTTTGCATTTGCCTGCATTCTTCACCTCAGACCCAGCATGGATATCATGCTGAAGTAGTCAAGTATGTCAACCATTACTATATCTGATATGATATAATATCATATCATCTGTTTAACCTTAACGTTTAGATGTATATGTGTACTATATAACTGTATTAAACCTAAATTTTCTTTGCATTTGTCTGCAGTCTTGACCTGTGACCCAGCATGGATATCGTGCTGAACTTCGCCGACCACTACGTCTTCACGCCGTACGTGTACCCGGCGCAATGGGAGGAGTCGGACCCCGTGAGACAGTACCTGAGTCTGTTTGCCATCGTTATGTTGGGAGGGTACGTGCTGTACCTGGTGACCGCCAGCCTTGGCTACGTGTTTCTGTTCGACAAAAGACTGCTACAACATCCGCAGATGTTAAAGGTGAGTTGAGGCTGTATTAGCAGTCCAGTAAATAATTTCATCAGGTCGATGTATGATCAAAGTTCTTTATTCACAACCACTTGTTTAAACAAGCTGACTTTTTGATGACCTTCTGTTATCTTCAACAGGGCTGCTATGCAGTGAACCAGTAACATGTTTATAATACTATTATTAATAGCTTCAGTATTTAAAACAGTGAACCATTAACACCTATTTTCAGTCGCACAGTGAACCAGTACTACCTAGC